CTTTTAGTGTACAAAATCTAAAAAAGAGCATCAGAAACAAATTCCCATAGGAACTACAATGAAAATACCAATAGCAATCTACAAAAAAAAAAAACCAAACTTTTCTTCAGATATCATACCTAAGACAATCCACACACATGACAATAGCACATTCGATATACATGCATCGCTTACACTGATAGCACACGTCTTTTGCTTTCCTGGCCTTTTTGTAGGACATAATTGACATCTCAGTGGTCTTACTGTTTTGTCAGAAGATTCTTTTTATATTATACAGTGTGTAGTTAACAGGAACATCAAATATTCATTAAAAAAAGTATTAAATTCTTAATATGTATTGTGTTTAGGACATCAACATTTTCACATCAGCTGTATACTTGCTTACAAAACCTAAAACATCAAGAATAAAAAGCTGTGAACTACAGTGTAAACAGAAGTCTACCCAGCAGTAACTGCCACACCTAACAACTTTGTGTTCCATGCACAACTACCGCTTACACCGACAGCACGTTTTGTTTTCCCACACTTTCTTGTAGGGCACAGTTGACATCTCTTTTGCTTTCCAGCTGTTGCAGTAGGTGTTTATGACACTGCGCCTGCCCGTTCACCTGTCTGCTCACCAATGTGTGCCACAAATTTTTGCATACCTCCCTGGGCGGAAGTATTTTGGTTTTTCTGCTGTAAATGATCTCTTATGAGCTTGTCGCAATTCTCTAAGAACATTTCTCCATGATATTTTCCATTTTTTATTTTCTCTGTAAACTGTCAAACTGCTTATGCCACGTTTACGATCAAGTAAAACACAACTATCGTCTAATGTTTTGTGTTTCAAGTGACATCACAGTTGCTGCATAACTCACCAACAGCATCTACTCTACTTTTGGTTTTGCTGTTGAAAGGTTCCCTCTCAGGCTTTGTTTTGCGAGATTTCTGTGTTAGTATTTCCATCATGGTAAAATGCTGACATCAACACTACATTTGCTTTTCTTCGCCATGTAAGAGGCCAGTGTATCTTTCTGAAATTCAAAGACGGTGCTATACAATTGTTTTCAGATTGCAACATTTCACTTGGAATTTTTGCTCTGTTCCTGTGTACAGTTCCTGTGCTGGTCAACTTGTGTTCCGTTAGCAGATGTGACACCAACTGGAAACCAGTGAACCAACTGTCGAAGGTCATCTTCCAGTCAGTTTGGGAGAGGGGAGCAACGTCTGTTCACAGCACTGTTCCATTTATTACTACACAAATGAGGACCTAATGGCTGAGCTCCAGGATAAATGTCTAAAATGAATGCATAGTAAGTTTTCACATCTATAAGGGTAAAAATTTTTACGCCATATTTTGATGCATCGCTCTTCTGTAGGTCTTCTACATTCCTGTGATCACCAAGAGAAGCCTGTGCTAAGTACACCAGACCTATGAATGCATGTACTTCAGCCAGTGAGGTGTCATCATAAGTACACTTTTAAATATGGCTATTGGTGCATACAGAACGTTTTACTTGCATTTCAGCCTGTGTATTTCACAGCATCTTGCAGTATGTCAGAGGGTAGGCACTGTAGAAAGGATGAGCACGATGCACAGAGCTTATGCTCTTGTGGGGAGACAGAAGCACGTGCCCCTAACTAAAGCATGTTGTTATGTATGTTATAGATTCTTCAGAAGTAGGGCCTGGAAGAAAGATCCTGTTCCTGTTTGATCCAGGACTACAATTATACAGTTTCCTTACAGTCTTCCAGGACTTCCAAGGCTATCTTCCTTTTACTGATTTGAGTTTGCAAGTTTTAAATGTATAGTATTAGATTTCTGTAAAATTCAAGGTTCTCTCTCCTGTAAGATATGTAAGGGGAAATCCTATTGTGATGTTCAAGGTACACGAACTTGTGTTTTTGTTATTTATTTATTTTGTCTTTTTCAGGCAGGGTCTTGCTATGCAGTTCAGGCTGGCCTTGAGCTCACTTTGTAGCTCAGGCTGGTCTCGAACTCGTGACGATCCTCCTGCCTCAGCCTCCCGAGTGCTGGGATTACAGGCGTGCGCCACCATGCCGGCAAGCTTGTTTTTAATCTTGAAGCATAAGCCTGGGTCAAGCAGATCCATCTCTTTCCTACTGTAAATTTGCACTTTACGATTACAGTTGTTAGCTGTGCATCTCAGTACTTTTCCCTGATACAGGAAGCAATCTATATGTTCACTCACTTGGTCTGACAAATGGCAAGGAGTGTGCAAGTGAGCAAAAGTAGCAAAATGGGATTTGAACCCATGTTTATGCCCTAACTGGTTTTGTGTATGTTCACACAGGCATCACAGAGGGTCCAGTATACCCACACCAGGATTTGCTAAAAGTAAGTTTCTTTTTGATTTTTCTAGTAGAAGTAGCCCAATTTAGTACAGTGCCACATGAAAATCCAGATTTCCAAGTTTTGGAGGAGGTCAAAAGTGAATCATCAAAGCCAGGTATGGTGGCGAATGCCTGTAATCTCAATACTTAGGAGGCAGAGGCAAGAGGATTGCTGTGAGTTTGAGGCCAGCCTGGGCTACGTGAGTTCAAGGTCAGACTAAACACAGAGCAAGACCCTATCTCAAAAAAACCCCCTAAAACCAAAAAATAAAAGCAAATCATGCATGGATGATGATGATAATCCATTATGGTAAAATACATGCTTTCATAACAGAAGAGTGCGGTGGGTATAGGGTGACAATTATGATGATGACTTTGACATTGGTCATGTGAACCAAAGTTCCTGTAACAGTGAAATGGAGCAGGAATCAACTGATACACAGGGAATGCAGATCTGCTTGACTCACATGACTAAGAAAACAGAAACAGCAATGTGAGTACGTATTTGGCTAGCTGAAATGTTACAAAATGGTCATGCAACCAAATGGAACAATCCAGTATTAGAACCAGGTCAGGAAATATAGTAATGCTCTTGGCAGGGATGAAACTTATTGGACAGAATGACAGCACTGCCATTCAGTGCTGGATGTTGTAACAGCTGAGAAAAGCATTTGATAAAATCCAATATCTATTCTGTATAAAAATCCCTAAAATAGGTATCAAAGATCTTTATCTCAATCTGACAAAAGTCATCTGCAACAAACCAACAGTCAATGTCGTATTCAACAAAAGAAAACCTGAAAACGTTCCCTCTAAAATCAGGAACAAGACAAGGATATCCTCTATCACCACTCCTGTTCAATGCAGTTCTCGTATCAGCCAGAGCAATCAGGCAAGGGAAAGAAATAAAAGGAATATGGATAGGAAAAACAGAAGTTAAATTATTTTTTGCAGATGACAAGAACCTGTACATAGAAGATCCCCAAAACACCAAAAGACTCCTAGAATAACCAAATTCAATTGTATAACAGGATAGAAAGTCAGGTCAACACTCAAAAAATAATAGCATTCCTGCGTACCACTAATAAAGTCACTAAAGAGGCGTGTAGAGAAGCAACGCCTCTCACAGCAACATCAAGAAAAGTGAAATATTCAGGAATCCACCTAACCAAAGAAGTGAAAGACTTCTATAGTAAATACTGTGATACTCTGAAAAAGGCACTTGTACAGGATAATAGAGAATAGAAAACAGAAAGATACCCCTGTTTCTCGGTAGGCAGGACCAATACAGTCAAAATGGCCATCCTTCTAAACTTAGATTTAACACAATCCTAATAAAAATACCAATAGCACTCTTCATAGAACTAGAGAAAGCAATCCTAAAGTTCATAGGGAACAAGAAGGAGCTAGAACAGAAAAGGAATTCTGGGGAACAAGGGCAAGGCAGGAGGCACCACAATACTGAACTTATACTACAAAGCTACAGTGTTAAAAACAGCACTCTATTGGCAAAAAACAAAAACCAAAGACAAAAGAAAACAGCAGCAAACACAGACTCACAGACCAGTGGAACAGAAGATCCAGAAACAGCTCCAAGCACAGTCAGCTACTCTTTGACACACAGAAGTTTTACTGGAGGAAAGACAGCCTCTTTAATAAGAGGCTTGCTACATGCCGAAGACTGAACCAAGATCTGTACCTCACCAGGCACAAAACTAAAATCAAATTGGTCAAAGATCTAAACATGAGAACAGAAACAATCTGTTAGAAGACAAAATAGAGAAAACTTTTGAAGGCACAGGCATAGGTAAAGACTTCCTGAACAAAACCCTGGTTGCAACAGAAATAACACTAAGAATCAACAAGTGGGATCATACCACATTAAAAAACACAGGTACATAAAGGGTAAATTCACATAGTTTTATAAGAGAAAGTCAAAGTATAAATAATTTTAAAAGTCAAAGAAAATAGGGAGACAAAACTTGCAGAAGTGGGAAGGAGATCTGCGGATGAGGGGGATGAGGGAGATGGGAAGGTGAAAAGGATCAAGATGTCATATGTATATGTGCGGATTTCTCATGATAAATTATTTATTATGTATTGCAACATATACTAATGAAAAAACAGGAAGAAAAGAGAATGGTAAGAATGAAGGGTTAATGTGAGGGGGAATTATTTTGAGGACTAATAGTCTTTTCCTTTAATAAAATTATTTTTATTTACAAAAAAGGTCCTGAAAAAGCACATGTAATACTCATTTTGATACTTTATTTCCAAGTGTAAGTGAGAAAGGTCTGTGTTCTAAGGACTGTCATTAACTGGAGGCTGTTTGTCTCACTACTGCACGCAAATGCAAACTGAAAGAAGGGAGACAGGAAAGAATTTCATGATGAAAAATAGCAGTTGCTTCACACCTGCAACCTGTTGGCTCCCTTCTGTTGCCTAAATAGCACACACACCAGAACTCAAGGATTAGCTAACAGAAGAAGTAGTGCATTACTACGCAAGAGCGGTGTCTTTAAGTTCCCCTAATGAAGTCTGTCTGCCCGCCCCTCCCAGGGATGCATCAGCAGAAATTACATTACAGAAAATGTTACTCATGTTTAAAGTAATCTATTTAACTACTCTAATAGAATTACAAATCAAAGACACTTTCAAAAACATTTTCAGAGAGTATCAACAAAAACATACTTTATTGGTAACCAAACACTTCAAAGTTTTTGATTATACACATCATGCAAAATGGCTGTCTTCACATTTGTCCACCTGCTCATTTTTACTTTTGAGATGATTATTAATTATAGTGACTGTGGTAGTAAAAATCATTCAGAGAAATGACTTTCAATGCAGCAAAACACTATGTAACACATACGAATATACTGTTCATTTCTTCTGGAAGCTTAACTCTCCTAATGTAAACAAATCTATATTTTGGAAGACCATTATATACAAAAAAAATGGCAGTAGTTTTTGCATATGCATCTATAGGTACCCCACTGAACTGATAAAAAGAAACTAAAGAAGGAAATAATTTAAAAAATTAATTTTCCAAATAATTCTTTCCTGTTTTGTTAATCCAAAACAGGGCAATGCCCTTTTATTTACAGATGCTCATTCTTCCTGAGCATAGTGGTACACACCTATAATCCCAGATACTTGGGAAGGCTGAGTCAAGAGGATTGCTTATTCCCAGTAGTCTGAGTCCTGCCTGAGCAACATAGCAAGACCCTATGCTGGGGTGGGGGGTGGGGCAGAGGGCAGGGGGCGTTCTTCTCCTCTAGTAAGTCATTTTCATAGGGTAATGGTTTTGTTCTCTTTAAAAGGTAGTTTATTTCTGCTAATCCTTTTGAATTGGGGTTTTATTACCCATTTTCTTTTTAATAAGTAGAAAGAAGCAGGGCTTCCCATTGTCAGGGAAGACTTGGAAGACTCCCATATGGCACTGAGGACAATTTTCTGCAGTAGGGAGATCAACACTTTGGCCCCGTGGTAGTTCCAGTAGCACCCTGGTATTCAGACAGCTACATTACGCCCTTGAAATAACCAATGACCCGGGAAAAGAGATCCCATTCAAGTCAACTGGCAGTGAATGGTCGCAAAAGACTTTTCTGCATATCTGGCAGTGGGGTGTCGTGTAAGAGGTATAAAGGAAGGCAGAAGTGGTTTTGGAATTGAGTGGTGGCAGAGGCTGGAACAGTTTTGAGGCGCCTGATAGAATCCAGATTTCCTTAAACAGACTGTTGGTAAAAATTTACAAGTTAATGCTAGGGAGGGGATGAAGAAGTAAGGAGGCTGGCAGAGGACACCTAAGTCACCACAGAGATTGCCTAAAAGGTCATCCATGCTTTTAGTAGAAGGACAATCTTAAAAGGCGCTGTCACTGAGGGTTCAAAGGAAATGGAGAAAACATCATCAGAAAACTGGAAGTCCTTATTACACAGTGACAAAAACCCAGCGGAACACTGTAGTTATGTGGAAAGCAGAAACTTATGAATAATAAACTTAAACACTGAAATTTCCAAGAAACTGTAAGATTGGACCTGGTTTCTTCTTGCTAACTATAGTAAGATGTCAGAGACTGATACACTGAAGAACTGATGAATGTGAAGAAGTCAGGAACTGACTGAGGAAGTTCACAGCCCATCCAAATGGTAAAACCCTAAAAGCAGGAGACTCACAGCAGGAAGGCTGCTCTCAGAGGGAGATGAGGGTACAGCTGCACTACTTTTTGCTAGTATCTCAGAAAAATCAAAAGGCCTGAGAATTCAATCTCTAAAGAGATGAAGGTGTGACTCACACACTTATCTATCGTAGAAAAAGCCAGAAGCAGAGGTGGGATTATTTAGGAAGGATTTGTGAAGAAGCCTCCTGTCCAGTGGAGTAAATCTCCATCACATATGCAGGAGAACTTTATAACTGAAGAAACTGTCATCTTAAACTGAAAGGTATACAGGGCATGGTAACAATGGAAAAAAGAAGCGGATAAAGCTACTCAGCTACTTTTGTGAAAAGGCCTGTGAGCTACAATAAATCTTAGGCCTTTAACCTAAGGGTGTGAGCCCGGCTGGATTTGTAAATTGCTTGGCTCCTTTCTTCATTCCATTTTCCACTTTTGGAACAGGAATGTCTGTAACTTATTCTACAGCTACATGCATTTATATTTGGGAGGATGTAGTATAATTTCTAGGTTCATGGGTGAAGGGAAGTTATGCCTGGGGAGTAATACCCAGAGTCTCTTAACTGAGATGATTTAAATGGTGAGATTTGGGACTTCTGAATGATGAAATTCAAGTAAGATTTTGCACTTTGAGTTGATGCTGTTATAGGTTTAGACTTCTGAGCACCTTTGGATGGAATGAATTTATCTGGGATAGATATGAATCTTTGAAGAGAGGCGTACTGTGATAGGTAGGTATAATAATGCCCCTTCCCCCAACGTCATATCCTAATCCCCAAACCTGTGAACAAGTAACCTGAAATGAATTAAAAAAAAAACCAAAAATCACTAAAAAAATTTGCAGATGTGATTAAGATTACTATGGTATCTTAAAATGAGGAGCTAATCTTCAGTAATCTGTTGGGCCTAAAGTAATCATGTAAGTTCTTATAAGCAAAGAACTTTTCCTCACACCAGGGAGACGTGATCACAGAAGGGTCGAAGACATGCAATGATGGTAAGTTTTAAAATGAAAGAAGGGTGAAAAGCCAAGGAATTAGGGCAGGCCCTAGAAACTGAAATATCAAAAAATGATTTGCTAGACTTCTTAAAAAGAATGCAGCCCTGTCCACACCTGGATTTTAGCTCGGTGAGACCCACACTGAACTTTTAATCTACATAATTTTAAGAAAATAAGTATTTATGCCACTTTAAGCTACAAACTTTGTAATTTGTTATGGGTGCAATAAGAAACTAACCAGAAATGGTGGCCAAAGAGGGAGCGGGGGCTGGGAGGAAGAACACTGTGTCTGTAATTCCTCATGTAGTGTACCACACTAGAGAAATGCTCGGTTTCAGTAGAAATGCAAACACTTATGCTGGTAATTCTTTAGATCCAATCTAACTGAATTTACTTTCCTGTATTTCTATGGTAGCTTTGTTCAGGAAAAAACTGTAGGTTGAACAGAACAGTGTTTAGCATATGTGAAGTATCTCCTTTCATTCCATCCAAAAAAAAAAACTGTTGAATGAATGAATGTGATCAAGGCAGGCTCTGGGAGGGATTGTGGTTACTTGATTTTAAAGCACTGCTTACCATATCTTCATAAGAACTGCTGATTCATAAATCATTTTGATTCTAGTTTATGATGGTCATAGTTCTACACAATATCAAAATGTATTTTGTGATACTACTAATGTACTTAAATGAATAAGTAAAAAAGACATGTAAATCCTTAATAGGAGAAATAATTATTGTATGATCAAATACTTTCAAAATCAGTATACAGACACTTTTCAGTAAATATTACAAAACCTTTTCAACTTATTTGAGCAAAGAAATCCTTAATGGCTGTTGGTCGTCGCTGCATTAAGAAACTTTAGTGCAAATTTTACCAAATGCATTTATCAAAAAGGAGTTTTGTTCATTTTCTCTGCAACAAATGTTGCTACATGAACACTTAGCATGTAACAAACTGATTTGCCTAGATATTTATAAACTATCAATGTAAGTCAGCCCTGCAACTAAACACTCAAACATATTTATCTTGAGATCTATACCTAGTCCATACTTATCTATATTAAGCCTGGATGATAGAATACCAATAAAAACCAAAACTTATCTGTACAATTAACAAAAATAATTTTTCTTTTTTGCTGGAAGTATTTTTCTTATTAATATGGCACATTACCTATTCCTATCTGCAACTGCATGGATAGGAGCAATATTATTTTAGTTGTTGGAGAATCACAGTGTTAAGAATATCTGCTTCTTGTAGTGTCAAGCTTTCATCTGTTAGCTCCTTGTTTGGAAATGATGTCACAAGAATAAAGTCAAGAGCTGCAAATTCAGGACGGGACCGTACAATAAAGTCCCGGACATCCAGGATCCTG